AGTTAAATGTTACTGACGCTTTCCAAAATGTTCAGCATTATGAGGTTTTGCTGTACTTGCTGCTGCTGGTTGGTTCATAAATCCTGGATTCTAAAAGTATTATTACCGCCACAAACATGAAAAAAAGTACATACAACAAAAACAGCAACTCAACATGATGACATTTTTATTATTTTTATAGAATGTTGTTCGAGTATATGTACACAGAAAAAAATATGCACAATTTTTTTCTTAACAATCGTTTGCTTAAATTTAATTTCGATTTTTATAAATATTTTTATTTGGGTTTATAACGAATTTGTTTGATGTTCACACAGAAGGAAAATATTTTCTAACAAACACTTTATTTTGTTTTTGTTTGAGTTTTATTTTTATGTCAGCATATGGAATACAACAATAAAACCAGTTTTGGAATGTACTAAAATGAATTTATATAATTCTTATTTGGTTTATAACATTTAATGTATAAGTGTTTCAGTTTTCACAGTACAAAATAATAGTTTCTAGAATTAGAAACGTTTTCTTAAAAATGTTGTAAGTATATATGTAATTTTTTTACTACTTTTAGTTTTAAATATTTTTTGTAAAATTTTTGTTAAAATTTAGTATATATCTTTTAACAAAATTTTTATACATTCAATAAAAATTTTTCTTATTATTATTGCCAAAATACAATAAATAATTTAACTGTTTCAGATAACATATTTGCTTGAATTTCAGTACAAATACTAATAACTTGTGTTATTGTTTCAGTAAAATAATTGTTTGGAAATGTTGCGATTATTTATTAATGTTTTTCGTAAATAGTATATTATTTTAATAAGAAAAATCCTGAAATTTTTTCAATAAAGAATTTACGAATTTGAGTACTTGATTTTACGAATTTCGTGATAGGTCCTATTTTAGTAAAAAAAATACTTGGCTTTATGAATTTTTTGTTTGATTTTGAATTCCATTTTTTTCTGTGTACAACTACAAGTTGAAGTGTAAAATAAAATATAAATAAATATACAACTTTTTTGTTGTTGTTTGTTTTGTTGATATTCATAATCAAACCATAAGCCTGAGAGAGTGTGAGTGGTAGTAGGTGCTTAAAAGAAGAGAAGGAGGAAGCGGAAATTGTGGGAGGGAGGCGAATGTTGTAGCATACTTCTGGGCTACTGATATAAATTTATGTATAAAATATGTTTAAAATAATTGCATTTTTAGTCCATACTTTACAATGTGGTTTTTGGCGGTTTTTATGGTTTTAGAAAATTAGCTTTTTGTTTAGTTGTGACAGTTAAATGTCTAAAATATCATTAGAAAAAATTAATAGAGAATAAAAAAAAACAAGTACACTGTTGATGGATTTGTTAGTTAAATAGAATATTTTATTAAAATATGTACCTTGAAGTGCTTATAACCTTGGTTATGTTTGAAGTGGAATAAATTTAATTTAAAACTAAAACAAAATGAAAATTTAATTAAATTTAAAGGAACATTTAGGCGAAAACGTAAAACATATTCGACATTTTAAAATAAAGTTCCATTTCTGGAATACGAAAAAATTTATTTAATAAAATCATTGAAAATTTTCATAATTCGAACATTAAAAGTTCGAAGATTGATAATTTTGAAATGAAAATTCGAATGTAAAGTCGAACATTGAGAATTTAAGAACTGAAAATTTGACATCAAAATTAAAAATTCGAACATTAAAAATTTAAAATCTTAAAATTTCAGTCTTAAATTGATATTTGGAACACGAACAATTTTTAAAATTATAATTTTGATTAATTTCAATAAAATATACACTTTACAAAATGCATCACTGCATGTGGTACGAATTACAAAAAAAGCCGAAAAAAGCTTTTAAATTATACCTCAACTGCTAAATATGTATGTTAATGCAATAAAATAAGCACAGAGAAGAAAAAAAAACAAACAAATACAAAAAAGCTTTCCTTTTTAAAGTAGGCAGCTAAATAATTAAAGTGCATTTAATGAGAACAACCAAACAGCTTTTAATAAATTTCAAACCGAGAGAGAGAGATAAAATCAAAAACAAACACAAAAATAAAAACAAATAATATACATTTTGAGAAATAAAAGGGGAGCCATATTAAAAGAGAGCTAGTATTTAATAAAAAGATTTTTATAAAGTTTACAGAGAGCAATTAATGGGGAGCACAATGCACAGTGTTGCCAATGTTTTTCCACCATTTCCTGTTGAACCATGTCACAAAAACCGCTAGACACCTTTAGATTTATATTTTTGCAAAAGCCGCTCGAAAACGTCATATTTAAAGATCAGACTACAAACCAGACTATAGGCTACCCTATTGACTAGGCAATAGACTAGACTATAGACTAGACTATAGACTAGACTTTAGACTAGACTATAGACTAGACTATAGACTAGACTATAGACTAGACTATAGACTAGACTATAGACTAGACTATAGACTAGACTATAGACTAGACTATAGACTAGACTATAGACTATAGACTAGACTATCGACTAGACTATAGACTAGACTATAGACTAGACTATAGACTAGACTTAGACTACAGACTAAGACTATAGACTAGACTATAGACTAGACAATAGACTAGACTATAGACTAGACTATAGACTAGACTATAGACTAGACTATAGACTAGACCTATGAACTAGACTATAGACTAGACTATAGACTAGACAATAGACTAGACTATAGACTAGACTATAGACTAGACTATAGACTAGACAATAAACTAGACTATAGACTAGACTATAGACTAGACTAGACTATAGACTAGACTATAGACTAAACCTATAGACTAGACTATAGACTAGACTATAGACTAGACTATAGACTAGACTAGAGACTAGACTATAGACTATAAGACTAGACTATAGACTAGACTATAGACTAGACTATAGACTAGACTATAGACTAGACTATAGACTAGACTATAGACTAGACTATAGACTAGACTATAGACTAGACTATAGACTAGACTATTGACTAGACTATAGACTAGACTATAGACTAGACTATAGACTAGACTATAGACTAGACTATAGACTAGACTATAGACTAGACTATAGACTAGACTATAGACTAGACTATAGACTAGACTATAGACTAGACTATAGACTAGACTATAGACTAGACTATAGACTAGACTATAGACTAGACTATAGACTAGACTATAGACTAGACTATAGACTAGACTATAGACTAGACTATAGACTAGACTATAGACTAGACTATAGACTAGACTATAGACTAGACTATAGACCAGACTATAGACTAGACTATGGATTAGACTATAGACTAGACTATAGACCAGACTATAGACTAGACTATAGACTAGACTATAGATTGGACTATAGACTAGAATATTGAATCTCCAAGCGCTGGTTAAAAATCTACATACTTTCCGCTAACCCATATAACGCACTTTTTCGCGCAAAAAAGTCAAGTTGGCAACACTGCTAATGCATTATAGAGAATTTTGCATTAAAGGTAAACTGCACAAAGACAGCTGTTATTGTTGCTATTGTTATTGCTGCTGCTTAATCAGAGAAGGGGAGTGCGTGTAGGTTGGAGTGTTTACTTTTATTGTTGTTGTTGCAATTGCTGGTGTTGTTGTTGTTTATTAAGTAATATTTTAACGCGCGCGCATATTGTATATTTTGGAGAACATTTTTACTTGTTTTGAGTTTTTGTTGTTATTGTTTTACTGTTGTTTCCACATGCTTTTTTTTTTTTTTTGCTCCAAATTGAAGATTATGAAGTAACAAGAACAACAACAGCACAATAAAGAGATGAGGGTGGCTAAAAGTGTATGAGTTTGGAAATTATTCTCATTGTTCATTGTTGTTGCTGTTCCTCCTCTTCTTCTTCTTCTTTTGCTTGTTTCAGTATTTTTTCGCCTATTTGATAGACAATATTATTGTTTTTGTTTTATACTTGCGTTTAGTTTAGTATTTAACAAAGCAGAAGCTGCTACTATACACGTCGTCTACTAACTACTACTATTGCTGCTGCTGCTGCTACTACTACTACATACTACTATTACTCTACTACTAACTAACAAGTAGTAAAAACCGTCTAAAGAAAAGGTCTAATTTTTTGTATAATTTTAATAAAAAGAATATCAAGTTTAGCGGTTGAAAAAAATAATAAAAAATATTATAGAAGTAGATTTTAACAAGTGTTTTAACTAAAGTTAAAGTGCTGGTATTAAAGTGTAAAAATAAATATAATAAACAGCTGAATTAAGTGTTTAACTAAAAAAAAATAAAGCTATTATCACAACCAGAGCAAAATTTTAGAGGTTGAAGTGTTAAAATTATAAAAAATAAATCAAAAATATTAACAACTTTTTTGTTTGGCCCGTCAAGCTGTTGTGATGGTCAGTCATTGTAACCATTAAAAATTACAAAGTTTATTGAACTTTTTTGTTTTGAAAAATAAAAGGAAAATTAAACCAACAAAAATTCAACAAAATTAAAATCAAGTTTTAAAAGATGTTTTGTTTAGTTTTATTTAAATAAATTTTCAAAAATTTTTGTTCAATTACTGCTGCTGCTGGTCAACTTTACCGACAAATTTTGTATACAATTTTAACAATTTATTACAGTGTAAGAGAATGTGTAATATGTAATAGGTTTGTGTGATTAAGTGTGTCTTACAAAGAGAATGATTTTGTTACATTATTATCTCCTTTTCACTGATGATTCCTCTTCTTTTTCAACTACTACTGCCTCGTCTTCTTCTTTTTCTTCAACATCTTATGATTTTCTTTACTATTCATTATACTACTCTCCTTTAAAGAAAACAACAATGAAATGAATCAAAGTGTGTTGTAGGTCCATCAATTATTGTTGTTTGTGTGTCTGAAATAAGCGTATGCGTGCATGTTTGCTAAGCAGAGGAAAACAGAAATAACAAAACATACAAAAATCATTGTCGTCGTCACTCATTTTTTGAAATGTTTTTTGAGTTTTAAAGGAAAAATGGTGGTGGTGACAAACAAACATAAAATTTTGTGAAATGTTGAAAAGTTTACGACGAGAATTACTAAATAAATTTATTTTCAATAAATTCAATAAAGAAAGAAATTAAAAATTAAACAACTTGGTGGATTTGTTAAAAAATTATAAAAATTTTAAAGTTAAAAAACACCGCTGGTCGGTGGAAATTTAAGAGAAAAAGAAAGAAAAAAAAAAGTCCGAAAAAAAAGAAAAATTACGGAAAAATAAAATACACAAAAAATAAAAGAAAAAGCTACAAAAAGAAAATCACAACTAACATACAACGCGGCTTTTAAAAAAGGCACAAGAATTATGTAAAATAAAAAAGTTAAAATTATTTAAAAAAATCTAAAAAATAAATCAAAATTTATATAAAAAAAAGTTAAAATAAAATTCTTATAGAAAAATAGAAAAGTTGTAATAAAATCTCTAGTGCAAAAAAGCAAAAAAAGCAAGTGTCAAAGAAAATTGTAAATTATAACAACACAACAACAAATTAAAAGTAAAGCATTATAACCTTAAAAGTGATTTTTTAAGAAATTTAATATAAAAAAAATACCACACCCTCCTTTTGCTAATAATAAAAAAAGTGTAAAATTAATAAAAATTTAAAAAATTCAAATAAAAATACAAACAATAGTAAAACGCCACCATTTAAGGTGGCGTCCTCCAAAATAAAAACTTTGGAGGCAAAGGCTTTGCAGGCCACGACAATATCAACAACAACAGCAGCTGCAACAACAACAAAAACAGCAAATGCCGAACAAACAACAACAACAACTGCTATAATTAAACCTAGATTATCATTAGCCTCCAACACCACCACATCATCTTCCAGTAATTCTTCCTTAAAATCACTTAAAACAAAACCCTCAAGCCAAACACCCACAACTTCCATAATAAAACAACCACAACTGCAACAACAACAGCATCACAAACTTCATCATAACTCGAACACGACGACAACAACAACTACAACAACAACCACCTCTAGTGTAACACATAAATCTTCTAACACCTCTACAAACACTAAAGAAAAATTCAAATCAAAACAATTACTTAAAGCCACCTCTAAAGTGAAAAAGAAAACCAAACAATTGACATTTGACAATACACCCTTGTGTTTGTTGCAACCTCATACTACCACCCCGCCTCCGGTCTCTACAACTGCCTATCCCAAATCCGCCTTTAATCTACGCAAATATTCATTACCCACAAATCTACCACAGCCTTTACAAAACTCACCTCTAGCCGTCAATACCCAGCGTAAAACCAGCACAGCGGCTTTAAAAACCGATTCAACTTTACACACTTTACCCTATCCGCCCTCGTATGTCTTAAGTCAAAGTTCAAAAGTGAAAAAAACCAAAACCACCAAACGTCTAACGAAATTCTTAAGGGCGGCCTCCTCCTCAAATTCACCACACTCGAAAGGCAGACGCAAATCGTCGGCCGCCTCAATTGTAGAAACTGCATTAGCTGCCGCTGGTGTTACCGTTAATCTAACCAACGCCTCGGCCTCTTCGGCATCGGCTACCGAGCTATTGGCCCAGGATTTGTATACTAAGACCCCAACACCCGCTTCAAATTGTGATTTAAGTTCGACCCTCAATTGTGGCGCTAACGAGTCTGTAGCCGGCGAATCTGGAGCTGCTGCCGGCGAGGAGGGTGAAGAATCGACGTGGTGTGGTGGTGGTGTTAATTTTCTAGTGTATATGGTTTGTTCATTTTGCTGTTGTTGTTATAATTTTCGCAATTCACCCACAAGGTAAGTAAATATTTAAACATGTTGTTTTCTACGATACAAATAAAAATTCTGAACTGAAATTCACCTCGTATTGCAAAATGTGCCCAGTTTTTCTATTACCAATATTTGTTCATTAAGTGAGCGAGTGTGTACCCTATATATAATAATAATAATAATAAAAATATATATTCGAGTGTTTCTGTATACATATATTAACAACAAAGTTTAATTAGGCAGAACATTGTTTCACAAAAATACAACAACAACAATAACAAAAAAATAAATAATAATATTAATTTTGACGACAATAAGTTCGTTGTATACTTGTACATATTATTATCAGAGAGTTAAAAATACTTATTATTTTTGGATTTTTTTTCTGATATATTATCTCTTCTTTTTGCGTCTGTCGTGTTTATATACTAAAAAAGCAAACTGAAGTAAACAACAATAACATCCAAAATGTCAGTATGACTCTCTTTTTTTAGACTCTTATTTTGCCCTCTATTTGTATTAAGCCCCCCAGTAATAATAAAATTTGTTTTTGCAATTATATTTTTGTTTTTACTTTACACTTTTTCCCAACTACAATTAACATAATAACAACAACAACAACATGCGTAAAAGTGCATTAACTTTTAGTTATTTTGGTCTATGTTTTAAATATAACGGTAAATCCTGTTGTGCTTTCTTTATCATTTACTCTCGAACTTAAATTCGCTCTCTCTTTCTCTATTTTTAAAACCCTCTCCCTATTTTTTATTTTTGAATATTAATGACATTTGGGTTTAATGAGTTGGAGTGGTGGAGACTGGGGGAGAGAATTGTTGTTTTGCTAAAAATTATTTTAAGGCAGGTCTGGTTTTTTTTTCTTAATCGTATAGCAAATATTTTATCAATTGAATTGGAAACTTTTTAAAAGTTTTTGAAAATATTTGCTAGGAAATTCAAAATCAATGTTTTATATAGAAACTGTAAACTTGCTAGACGAAATTTGAAATTAGTTATTAAAATCTTTTAATTTGTGGTCCTAAGCTTAAGGTTTAGCAAAACTGACATTTGAATACTCTAATATTTGTTATCATATTTATCGGCGCCGAACCACTCTTTGGTATCGCACAAGGATATGCTGAAGAAAGATGCGAATCGTAAGTCGAATTGGAACTTGTCCGCCACCGGAAAGCTACAACATGGCTTAATTATGCTATCAAAGGGAAAGATTTCGAAGTCCGTTACATTTCACTGTAGTACTTTTTCAAGCACTGGGTGAGCTGACTAGACGACTCACCATCGCTTTTTGTGTTCCTTACACTCCGGTGGAAATTTTTGTACATGGTTCTGCCGTCCATGTACAAGCACTTTACTTAAGTACTTAAGATATCTAATGTGGCCTCCGGTAGGTTAGTGGTTAGTGTTCTAGTCTGGTAGACCGGAGGTGGTGGGTTCGATTCCCACCTGAGGCACTGGTCAAGGAGCGCACAACAGGCCCGATAGAGGCCTAGGTGTATTTCTTCGGATATGATGTATATACATCCTCCTTTCAAACTAACTAACTATCTAATCTCAGACTTGCTCTGATTGCTGTTCCGTTGTTTAACATCCAAGTTGCAAAAACATCATCCCTGTTGAGTCGACAACAGCACCTAGAGATGTATTCGGTAGACCGAAATACGAATCCATCAAAACGTCTGAGGACTTTGTTCTTACTCACAGAGAGCGCACTGTGGTCCATCTGCTATGAACTGAGTAAACCTTGAACATACCTGGACAAGGGAGGAAAATTCAATGGCATAACTTGTATAAGATACCTTTCATCCATCACACTTCTCATTCAATTGACCCACTCATAGAGGGTGCGTAAGTTCCGTAAACCCCCACATTCAACCTGTGTCATATACACTTAACACCGTCACACAGTCACTCCTCTGTGGGGTATCTGTTGATTTCGGAAACAGCACCGAACTTATTCCGAATTATAGACTGCACCAAGCAGACATTCTATACCCGCGAATTTGGGTTTAAACCACAGCCACCAAGTGCACCCCGAAGGGACCTCTCTAATAACAGAGAAAAGACATTGACCGAAACACTGCCCTGCGGGCTACCGGTTCCCATGGTACCAGTGGTTCTCCGGTTCAACCCCATGTCAAATCATTCCAAGGAATGGCCGAGGATACCATTAAAGTCCCTGTAGACTAGAGGTATTACCTCTAACACCCCTTTTTCCCGGGATTCAATAACACCAAGATTGGTTTTTCAATAAGGGTACATGCTCCCGGAGGATTACGAAAGAGAATATCGCAAATGTTATCGCTTAACAAAAAGGACTACTTGCGTGACACTGGTCTCAGATATTACCAATTCTTCTTAGGAAATGCCATATCGAAGCTATCTAGATTTTGTGGCTGTCAAAAAGACATCTCTAATCTTTCTTCTTATGACAACACAAGGCCCCAACCTTAGCCTGACCATCCAATATCGCAAATACTAATTCATTTTCTTCTCAAGCATTCTTAATTTTGCAGATTATCTCAATCAGCAAAATTGACGTATTAAGAATAAGCTTTCATCGGTTCTGTACTGGAAATCTTGTTCAGATATGCCACGGTAGTGAATTGATTTACAATTATTATCACACGTAGAGTCCAGTTTCATACCAAATACCTTTTTATAGACTTAAAGTCTCTTCCATATTCTTTCATGATGGTTACGTCCTCAAACCGATTACTGGTCGGGAATCTGGTTGGTTATCGTACAACGCATCAGATGTGTATAATTAGATTCAACCAGTAGGCATGAGTTATTTCAGTTTATTCCTTCCAGATGTTAGCAATATCTACTTCTATTTTCGAATGACCACAGGAATACAAGAAACCCTAAGATGCAAACTAAAGCCCTCCCAAAAACTATTAAGAGCGATGTCTCTTTTCAATTTACTCCTAAACTTTCTTTTATAAAAACTGCAAAGATTTTTTTAATATTAGAATTTTAAATCCAAATACTTTATCTGATCTCTTATCTCTAAAAAATGTTTAACACATAATTGGGTTAAAAACTACTTATGATAAGATTTTCTAAAAAAATATAATAAAAAACATGTTTTTATTGTTTTGGTCAAATTCCTGACCACTTGATCTTTTGACGTCAAACTAAGTTTTATAAGCAAGCTATTTATTCAAACATTTAAAATAATTACACAAATTTAGCTTAAAAATTATTATGTACTTAATTCTTTTTAAATCATAAAAATTTTATAATTTATTTAATTGTTTTAAAACTAAAAATCATCATATAAATGAATTATTTCTCTTTAAAACTTTAATTTAATAAAAAAAATCTATAAATTCTTTAAAAGATCTGACAGCTGTCAAAACTAACTAACAAGAAATTAACAAACTTTTTTTTTCACTACATACAATAAATAAAATTTATGTAGAGAAATTTTATATACAATTTACCTCAATCATAAAAACAACACACAACAAAAAATCCTTAATAAAACATAACATTTCAGGAAAATGTGTCTTTAGGGGAGGAAGGCCAAATCAGCATCTCATTTTTTATAACAAATGTCAAAAAATTTGACAAGTACAAATAAAACTTACACATACAATTTTTTGACAGATTTCTTTAAAGCTCGATTTTTTTGTATTTCTTATTTTGCATTTGACAGTTAATGTTGCCAAAAAAAAAAAATTGGGGTTGATATTTTTGTGTATTTTGTTTTGTATAGGAATTTGTGTGGAAATTGCAGAAAATGTCAAAAAAAAAGAGTGTTTTTGTGTAATGTTGACATTTATCACAAGATTTGTATGTATCTATTTATTAGAATACAAGAATATTATAGAAAAAGAAAAATCCAAAAAACATACCCATAACAACAACATTTTTGGGTTGTTTTGTTGAAAAATGTTATTTTTTTGTTTTTGTTATTGTTGTGCTGTTTTGTTTTCTTTGATTTTATTGTACCGTGTAATTTTTATGGGTACTTGATTATGCGCACTTTAAGTCTATGTAATTGTTGTTAACTCTCATGCTCCCGCTCATGTTCTTTATGGAATGATAAGAGCGCCAGCTGCTTGAGGCTTAGCTTGTATTTTTTTGCAATAAACAAATATGGAAAACATGTAATTATTATTGAGCTCCCTTTGATTTTTCTTAACCCACTCACTCACCACCATCTAACAAATATTCTCGCTCTCCAATTGTATTGAGGGGGCTTACTCTCAGAGAGTATTTGTGTGTTTTCTTTTTGTTTACATTGCTGAGTACTTTAAGTTTAATGTTATGCTAAAATTTATTGCTGCTATTTCAATTGTTTTTGCACTTTGTTATTGCAAATGGAGAGCAGTGAGAGTTATCCCCCAAATAGAGTTCTCACTCTCATCATTGTCGTTATGTTGTTTTTGTTTATTTTGCTTTGATTTGGAGCTCTGATACCCATCTATAATAATTTTTGCTGTGTGAAAAACATTTACGATAAAAAAAAAACCAACAAAATGTTTTTGCTTCTCTATAAACATTTTGTTGTTTTTCTTTAATAATTTAGCTTTCCCTCAGCTCTTGTCTTTGACAACGCTGTATATTTTAACATTGTTGTTATACTCTCCACTTTTTATATACAAAAACGCTATACATTCCTTCATATATACATATCTATCTGTATGTATGTATATATTATCATCGGTTTCATTTATATTAGTGTTGCTTTTATTTTTTTTTCTATATTTTTTTTCTTTGCTTTTTTCTGCCTGCCCGTGGTTGTTTCGTCTTCATCGTGTTGTATGTTTTCATAACTTCGTGCGGTTCGTGATTTTTCGACGTTTTTCTACTTTGCTGCACGTCTTTAATAAAACTATCTACAAATTTTAAGTGATTAAATAATAATTTCTAAAAAATTCAATAATTTCCAACAGCAGCTATTGAAAAATCAAAAAATTATGCCAAAATCTAACCGGGGTAACGGGGATTTTCTTAAAAGAAAATTTAAATCAAAATTTTGCAAAAAATAAATGAAATAA